GACATATAGCACATACATGTGCTTTGGATAAAAAAACTTATTTGGTGTGAAAACCAAAGATGCATAAACCTAGACATATCAAACATGCATTTGTTTTAAAATGGCCAAAAGGAGAACCCAAACTTGTTTGGGTTCCCAGGTTTAATATTTGATGATTTTGTAGGCACGCTCTCACACAAGGCCTCGTGAGAGCATATGGTACATGTAGAGTGGTTGTTCAAAGCATATGATTGGATATACTGCATAATTCATATCACTGGAAGCTAGGAGTGGAGGCAGGGTTACACTTGGAGATAACACCACAAGGAAGGTGGTTGGATCAGGTATGATAGGAAACTTGAAAAACTTTTTTATAGAAAATGTTTTGTTAGTAGAAGACTTAAAGCATAATCTTCTAAGTATTAGTCAGCTATGTGATAAAAGATATTGTGTTAATTTTTTTCCTACTAGCTGTATATTAAGCCTAAATGGTAATAATATTTTGCATGGTATACAGGTAAATAATATTTATATATAAGATTTGAATTATATCAAAACTCTTACTACTTTTATTTAAAAATTATTTATGATGAGTCATGGCTTTGGCATAGGAGATTTTGTCACTCTAGCATAAAAAATTCTTATGAGGATTACCTAAAAGAACTTGATGAGAGGTATACCAAAACTATAATTCACTAAGGATCACATTTGCGATGCATGACAATTAGAAAAATAGGTAAAGTCATATTTTCCAGTCCAATAAGGATCTTAAAACTAGTAAACCATTAGAGATTTTGCATATGGATCTTTTTGGACCAGTTGGAATTATAAGTCTAGGAGGGAAGGTATACAGATTTGTGATTATGGATGATTTCTCTAGATTCATATGGATTAGATTTCTATATCATAAGAGTGAATCATTTGAGGAGTTTAGAGATTTTTTGACTTAGTTTTAGAGGAAACTAGGATGTGAGATTTTGACAATTCAAAGTGATCATGGAGGAGAATTTGAAAATGAAAATTTTGAGGATTTTTTTGTAAGGAGAAAGGAATTGATTATAATTTTTCTGAACGCAGAACCCCTCAGCAGAATTGGGTAGTCAAAAGGAAAAATAGAACATAAATTTTTTTGGCTGAAGCGGTTAGAACTGCATGTTATGTTATGAATAGGGTGAACATCATATCGAGTTTGAATAAAATACCCTATGAGTTACTAAAGGGGGGAACACCGAATTTGTCACATTTGCAAGTTTTTGGATGTAAGGTGTTCATACATAATAATGAAAAATTTGTCTTATGAAAATTTTATCCAAAATTAAATGAAGGAATTTTTCTAGGATACTCTAGTGTTAAAAAATCTTATAGAGTATTCAATAAGAGAACTTTGGTAATTAAAAAAAGCACACATGTTATATTTAATGAATCTAAAATTTTGAAAGAGTTGATAGTTGAAGAGAATGAATAAAAATTGACTCCCAAAAGATTGAGAAAATAAATTTGGATGAAAATTTGGAAATATAAAACTTATTTCCTAGAGATTTTAGATTTTCTAAAAACCACCCAGAGGAATTGATTACATGTGAATCTAGTGAGGGTGTTAGGACTAGGCATGGACAGAGCAAAGAAGTCAACCATTCAGCCTTTATTTCTATCATAGAACCCATAAATATTGATCAAGCACTTTTGGATGAATTTTAGATTTTGGCAATGCAAGAAGAATTAAATCAATTTATATGAAATGAGTTTGGAAATTAAGTGCAAGATCAAATGATCAAAGTGTAGTTGGAACTAAGTGGGTATCAAGAATAAAATGAATGACTCAGGAGTAATCATTAGAAATAAGGCTAGACTGGTGGCTAAGGGGTATAATCAGATTGAAAGGATTGATTTTAAGGAGACTTTTGTCCCTATAACTATACTTAAAGCAATTAGGGTTTTATTAGTCTTTACCTGTTTTAGAGGATTTAAGCTGTATCAAATGGATGTTAAAAGTGCATTTTTAAATGAAATAATTCAAGAAGATGAGTTTGTAGAACAACCTCCAGGCTTTGAAAATTTAAGATACCCAAATCATGTGTTTAAGTTAAAAAAATGTATTGTATAGATTGAAACAGACACCTAGGGCTTAGTATGAGAGGTTGAACACATTCCTATTTGAGAGATATTTTGAAAAAGGAAGTGTGGATACAACTCTCTTTTTAAAGAAATTGGAAGAAGATATACTCTTTGTATAAATTTATGTTGATGACATCATCTTTAGATCTACTGATAATTTTTTTTGATGAATTTTATAAAATAATGAGTAGTAAATTTGATATGAGCCTAATGGAAGATTTGAGTTACTTTCTAGGCTTTAGCATTAAGCAAATTGAGAAATGTACATTTCTTAGTCAGTCAAAATATGTTAAGGACATCCTCAAAAAATATGAAATGGACAATGCTAAACCCGTTAGTACACCTATGAGTTCCTCTATTCAGTTGGATAAGGAGCCAAATGGAAAATTTATTAATCAAAAGAAATTTAGGGGAATCATTAGATCTTTACTTTACTTGACAACTAGCCGACCTGATATTATGTTTAGTATTTATTTATGTGCTAGATTTCAATCAGATCTAAAAGAATCACATTTGAAAGCAATGAAAAGGATTTTGAGATATCTCTTGGGAACTCAGAACTTAGGAATTTGGTATCTTAAGTTTAGCTCTTCATTTGAAATAATCAGATATTCAAATTCTGACTTTATAGTTTATAGGGTTAATAGAAAGAGTACTTCTAGAATATGTTAATTTATTGAAAATTTTTTAGTCTCTTGGTCCAATATAAAATAGAATTCGGTAGCCCTATCTATTGTTGAAGCTGGATATATAGCATTAGGAAGCTGTGTGGCACAAGTACTTTGGTTGAAATAATAGTTGATTGATTTAGGATTAACAATATGCATAATTCCTATTTATTATGATAACACTAGTGCCATTTGTATTTCTAAAAATTCTATTTAACATTCAAAGACCAAACATATAGATATACGACATCATTTCATAAGGGATCATGTTTCGAAAGAGAAATTGAAGTTAATCATGTTTCAACTGAGGATCAACTTGTAAATATTTTTACTAAACTGTTAGTCTTTGATACTTTCAGTACATTAAGAACAAGTCTTGGTGTGATTGATTTGAATGCTTAAAATAAAGGTTTCTGCAATATTGATATGTGCTTTGTGAGCATGTTTTTTGGTTTTGTGATTTTCCTTATGTGTTTTTCAATTTTGGTTCATGCTTATTTTTGCTATTTTTTGTTGAGATTCGTTCACTATGAATTAGATTGTTAAACCTAAACTTATGTCCCAAGGCTATCCAAGAGGGGGGTGAATTGGTATTTTTTAAAAAAATTATCCCTCTTGAGAATGTTGAACCGAAAATAAACTTTAATGAATTTTTAGAAAATATTTTTCAACCACAATTTTTATAACAAAGCAAAATGCGGAAAAGAAAAAGTAGTAAAAATAAAAGACACAAAATTTATAGTGGTTCGGTCTAAACCAGACCTACATTCACTCCCCGGAGGCACCCTCCGAGTATTGCACTAATACCAATAGTGTCTCTCCTTTTGCACCCACAGCAAGGCGGAGAAGCCTTTACAAACACTCTTTCCACCACTACCCGGTGCGGCAGAGAATCGTCGTCCTTTTACACTATCCCCAGTGTTGGCAGAGAACTATCGTCCTTTTACACTATCCCAGTGTTGGTAGAGAACCGTCCGTCCTTTCACACTCTCCTAGTGTGGGCAGAGAACACTTCGACCTTTCACACTCTCCTAGTGTGGGCAGAGAACTCGTGGCTGTTTATACTCTCCAAGTGTCGGCAGAGAACCGAATCTCCTTGATAGATCTTCTCACAAGAATTCTAGAAGGAAAGAAGAAAAAAGTGAAGTAATCCCAAATCACAAGTAGAGATTCTTACCTTTGAACACCAAGCGAAGCCTTCACACTCCAGTGGTAGGAATCCTCCTTTGGATACTCTCTCATTGACTCTTCTTTTAATAGGCACGAAGATCAAATGGCAAAAAGATTGGGTGGTAGTCTAAATTGGACTATATATAGGAGAGACAAAAAAAACTGTCCAAAACTGCAAATTTTTCAAGTTAACACGAAATGAATCATTCCGTATAATCGTGGATCATCCTGGACGTTTTTATTTAAAGTGTTAGAAATGATCCTAATGAATATTGGTACGAACTATGTTCGTCATGATCATCACCCCGTACGAACTAGGTTCGTCCGGTACGATCCGTTATACCATAGGTCGGTTCCCAAATAACTACATGGACGTAACTAATTTTGATAAGTCGGTTCACATCGTCCTGGGACGAACATGACTTCATCTGGACAAAATTTTTACAGAGAAGAAATCGTCTTGGCACGATAATGAACTTTGTCTGAACAAATTTTTTAAAGAGAAGAATTCGTCCTTGGACGATTTGGATTTCGTTTGGATAAAATTTTTACATAGAAGAAATCGTCCTAGCACAATTATAGATTTCGTCTGAAAAAAATTTTTACAGAGCCTATTTCATCCTGGGATAAAAATAACTTCATCCTAGATGATCAGGACTTGATTTGAAGTCTTCATAGTTTGGAGTTTAATTTTCCTGAAATGTTAGTACACAAAAGAGCAAAAATAAATCTTCCAAAAAGTGTTAGGAAATAATTGCACATAAAATAATAATATTTGAAATAATCAAAATTATACAAGTTATAAGAATGTAACATATGCAAATAGCAACTCTCTTAACATAAATATTATTGTACTTAGAGAAATTTGATATTTTAGATTATTGATTTTTGAAAGATCAAGTAAACCATTTACAAATGAATCATTTACTTTGTTTACACATGAACCAACTACTTAGAGAAACAAGCATTACTGCTATAGTTTCCTACATCATGAAGAAGAAATAGAAAAAGAGAAATAAGAGAAAGGAAAGGAGAACAAGAAGAAGAAGAAAATGGGGAAGTGATTACCTGCGAGAAGAAGGATCGGCGAAGAAGCTTCAGTCACTAGGGACGGACGAGGGCTAGGGCTTGACGGGAGCAGGCAGTCAGCCTTGTCCAAACTAAAGGTAAAGGAGGAGGCTAGCATTGGTCTTCTCTTGGGCTAACAAACAGCATCCCCGGGAGAGAGGAAAGGAGACTAGAGGTCGGCTCCTTTTGGGGTTCGCGAACCAGAAGAAACGAAAGGGGATACGGCCCCCTTGCTTCTGCAAACCCAAACAAAGATAGAATGGAGGAGTTTAGGTTCTGGCTCGAGTGCGAGAGGGAGAGGGGATCTCGCCTTGTGTTGAGTGAAGCTGAGTATCTCACAAACCCAGAAGAGACAGGGGAAGAGGATCTTGATCGACTTTGGGCTTCACGAATGAGATATCATGGGGAGAGGGAGTTTCAAAAGTTTGGAGAAAGGTGGGATCAGTTTCGAATCAGAGTGCCAGAGATAGGGACTTCGGTTCTTATCTAATCCAAAGGAGACGAGGAGGGGAGCAAGAGGCGAAAGCCCTAGCTTGTATGAATGTAGAGGGAGTCGGGGAGAGAGAGTCAGTGTGTGCAAAATGCGAGAGCTGAAGGCTTTGTTCATGTCTTCTAAACATCTCCCGATGTTATACTCTGCTCAGAAAGCTCAAAACATTATTATGTCGTTCAGATCTTTACCCAAGACCCCGATAAATTCACTGAAGTAGGTGATCATGCGACTGAAACACTATAGCCACGGCAGTTTTGAATTTTGTAGAAATCGAGCCATCAAAACTATTTCTTGATTTAGAAAGAAATTCAAATCATGAAGAAAGTCAGATAAGGCTGTATAGAAATTAAAATAAGCTGATTTGGGCTAGATTTGACTCAAGCTAAATCAATTTAGGTCTAAATGGGCCTAATCAATTTAATTAAATAAACTAGAGTCAAATTGCGATCGGCTTGAGTCAATTTGGACTAGATTGGGCTCGACTCAATTCAAAAAAGACAATTTAATAAAAATAAGCTCAAATTAATGCTGATCAAAATCAAACTGAGCTTAACGAGGCTCAAATGCGTCAATCAAATTTAATCGGACTTAATTAGGATTAATTTGACTCGACTAAATTAATGCAACAAAAATCAAATCTAAATCGACGTCAATTCAAATTAAATCAAACCTAACAAGGACCGATCAACTCAACCAAATGCGCTTGAGGGAAAATCAAAAATAAAAATGAGGTCAACAAACACAACCCCAATAGGTGCGGTGAACAATGGGTGAATCGCACGTGTTGGCGTTGACCTCCCTATCTCTAGGAAGATGCAACCCTAGGATCAAATAAAAAGACTCACTAGGAAGATGCACTCATACAACTAGCTAAAGAGACTCACTAGGAAGATGCAATCCTACAACTAGCTAAAGAGACTCACAAAGAAGATGCAATCCTACAAATAGCTAAAGAGACTCACTAGGAAAATGCAATCCTACAACTAGCTAAAGAGATTCACTAGGAAGATGCAATCCTACAATTAACTAATGATAATCAAGAAGCATACAATCACACAACAATCATGCAATAAATGTCCCACCATGTTATGAATATACAATCACACAATGACCAAGCAATCACATAATTATGAGATGGCACATAATCATCATCAAATCACTCAATAGTCATACATCCTCATAATATCATATAATCAGGCAATCACCACACACTCATCTCACAATCAACTAATCATATAGCAATAATCAAGTCATACCATAATCACGCTATCATAGGGACCCACAAGAGACTCGACAACCAGCATAAAAAGTCAACAACCACTCAGTTAGAGATCCGAGTGGGAAGTGAAAAGAGGGAATCACCCATGGTTGGCGCATATGCCCAAAAGTGGAACAAAGATGGAACTCAACAATCACATGGTGTATACATCAAGGTGATGTGAAAAAGGTTAAGAAACACTTATTGATCACCCAGCGCATCTGCCGAGCTGATATAAAGAGAACAAGAAAATACTCAATGATCACCCGGCACATCTGCTGAGGTGATACGAAGAGGATAGAAAAACACTCAACGATCACCCGGTGCATCTGTCGAGGTGATACAAAGAGGACAAGGAAATACTCAATGATCAGATGGCGCATCTGCCAAGGTGATACAAAGAGGACATGAAAATACTCATTGATTACCTGACGCATTTGTTAAGGTGATACAAAGAGGATAAGGAAACACTTAACGATTACCCGGTGCATCTACCGAGGTGATACGAAGAGGACAAGAAAACACTCAACGATCACCCAGTGCATCTGTCGAGGTGATATGAAGAGGACAAAGAAACACTCAACGATCACCTAGAGTACACGTCTAAGGGGATGCGAGGAGAAAGGAATTCAACAATTCACTTAAGAATCATATCAAATAATAAAGAGTAATAATCAAAGGAAAGCAATAAGGAAGAATAATTGAAGACAAGAAAATCATCTATTTGCCTGACCACATCACAACACTAGAATAGAAAAAAGAAAATGGGTCCCACATCTACCTGACCATATTCACAATAGCGAATGGGGACAACTCAATACTTATTTGACCATATTTGAAACAACGAGCAAGAATAAAAAAAGATCAACTGTCTGTCTGACCAGATCAAAACAGCAAAACAGAAGGAAAAAAATGATCCAACATCCACCTGAACATATTTGCAACGGCGGATGAGGATGACCCAAAGTTTACCTGACCATATTTCACTACAAGAAAATCCACTATTACTGATAGATTATATCCACCGGTAACACATAAAATTCGCCGGCAATCCAGGGTTTCCGACGCATTTAAGACGGATTTTCGTGCGTCAGTTTGGTTCGCGTCGGAAAAACTTTCTAACATTTTTGAGACGCCAGAAATTGTTCTGGTGCCATCTCCGATGCATGACCGGCGCAAAAAATATGGCCAAGCAGACGAGATTCAATCGGACATTCTGGTGATAACAGCACAGGAAGTTTACGTCATATTGATCCGCCAGAAATTATCGATGGATAAAATGTCGTAGATGCACTGTAAATAAGCTACGGCTAGTTTGCGATGCATATATGGACGCCAAAAAATGCCGGCAGATAAGACGCCTTAAAATGCACTGGTAATTTCTGGTGTCCAAATAAATGATGGCATGGCCATAATGATTCGTTGTATCATCATTTTTGTTGAATTTCCGATGCAAAATTTGTCGGAAACCTGTAGCATTGACAAAAAAAATCCTTCCCAGCCAACAATTTCATTTCCACACCTGCAAACATATACAAAAACACTTCCAGAAGACAGTTATACACATAATAGGTATAAACAACTTCAATATATACTCAAAAACAAAAATATCCATGTAAAGACTTGTTCAATAGCATCAAATAACTAAAAAATATCACATATTATTCAATTACACATGTTCACAGAAATAAATAAGTTCATATAACTAAACTAAACTACTCTGACTCTGTGGACTCCTCCTCAGCTGGAGCTACCTCTTTTCCACTCAACTGCTCCCTCATTTTGCACATTTCATCCAACAACTGATTGTGTTGCTCCTGCATCTGCATTTGAACCTGTGCTTACAGCTGAGCTTGTCAATCAGCTTATGATTTCCTTACTTGTTCTAGCTCAGCTTAAAGGGCACTTATTTGTTGAGCATGTAAAGACTCGTGTGAACTGGATGCGAAGTTGGATACAATAGAGGAGGTCATCCCCTCGTATGCCTGAGCTTACGAATCTAAACCATAAACTCTGTCATGCTGCATTCCTCCGACGGCCTGCGACCAGATGCGATACTCAGAAAACTCCATAGAGCTGCCAGAAGATCCCTCACCTGATGCAGCATGCATACTCTCTCGAAATCGTGTATACTCCTCCTGTGAAAGTAGAATATAAATATATATAATTAAACAAAAAATAAAAATTT